AACCTACCAAGGCACACGCGCTAAAAATACAAGCCCGATCTTTGACTCCCGGTCCAGTGGCATAGATCCCGTGCCAAGGGCTGATCTCCCATTCTCAACGTGGTCTCGACCGCTCTCTCTTCTGCCCCGAGATTGGCTCGCTCTCTGCCCCAATTTCCTCTCCCCTCGTAAAAAGCTGCCCCGTTTCATCTTGTCAGATCCACTTTAGGAGTACCCGTTGTACATTTTCGGATACAACTCAATTCTCCGTATCTATCTCCGGGTGCCTTCGGATCATACCAATCTCTCGCGGACTTATACGCGCTTTGTTCGAGGCCGACGACCGAATGGACGGACGGACGAGAGAGAGACTCTGTTTGTGCTTTGACTTTGACTTTGACTCTGACTCTGACTCTGACTCCATCCTTCACACACGTTTTACACGTTACACGTTAGACCGGCAACGCCCTTGCATTGTATTGCCAGCCGTGAAACCTTGTCATTTCCTTATCCGCAGTCAGGGCTTATACACAGCGTCTTGTCATACAGCCTTCTTCCTGTCGTGAACAGTGATAAATCCCTACACATGCATTTTGTGAATAATCTGCCATCAACAATCGTAATTTACGTGATAAACTCCTTTATAGCACCCACCATCTATCTGACCATCTAACTAGGTAGTAGGTAATGCTTACATTGCTGACTTGATATGCGTAAATTTATATATAAAAGCTTATGCTCGCTCTTCGGACTTCTCGTCTTCGCTCGTCTCCTCTCCGGGAACCCACACCAAAAGGCCATCCTCGTCGATCTTCATCCCTTCTGTCGGTATTATGCGTAGCACTTTTTGGAAATACTTGTCTCGCACCGTCAATTTCGGTCTTATCCATACTCCGTTAACATGCGGAAGCAACCGATAGGTCGTTGTTCGCCGCGACTGTGGTAACAGGTTCAGTGTTGTCTGCTTTGAACCTGAAAATGCAAAGTCCTCGCTCGGATCCATGCTGAGACCAAAGGTAAGGAAGTGATTGGATGGATTCTCGACTGTCAAGTCCAGTTGCATCAGCCCCGGCATGCCATCTTCTGCTTTAGTGACGCGATACACCGATGCCAGTACTCGCGGCTCGGTGCCCAAAACCAGGTATTTACCAACGGGCATGGTTGTTGTGTTGACAGCCCCGTCGCTGCGGTTCTGACGTTGCCATCGAATGACAAATGCCAACTCGAGTGTTACAGGGTGTCGATCTTCCATCGTGAGCTTCTGGGCTATCAAATCGAACTGTGCCTCGTGCATCGTCTTGGGGGCAATAATGACCCCTTCTTGTGACACATCCGGTCCCTGGCTCACGTTGCATCTTGCACCACCAACACATGAGACCACAGTGAGATCCATCCCAAGGACCTTCAAGTCCTCTTGGGCAAACGAGGCATAGTGGCACAGCAAGCACCACTTCTGCGTGAAGCCTCGGGCAACACCCTCTTCCGTATCTCCCAGTCCCTCAGAGTCAAAAAGACTCGGCCATGGTCCAGGGTGAAGTCGTGGAACCAAATCGTAATTTGCCTCAAATGCATTCACAACATTGAGCTGAACTGTCAACAGTTGCATAATCGGCGTTGCAACGTCTGACTCTAAGTGATACGACATCTTCAAATGCAAATCGAATGTCGTGGGACCCGGTGCTGCATCTATATGAAGCACCATCTTGACTGATGCTGCGCTCTTAATGGCACCCAAAGGCAGTCCCAAAATTTTAGCCTCTTCTGTGGTTGCTTCGGCGCTGCCCTCATTGCCTTCTGTTACCACTCGGATTGCCGGTACTTCTTTTCCAAAGAGGTGAATGTCCAGTTTGGCAGTAGCGGATTCGTCCTCGGCATTGATCAATTCGACCTCCAACTCAATGGCCTCATTTGCGTAGTACTGAGCCGAGGGTTCCAAGAGCTTGATCACCATCTTTGGTGGTCGAGGCTGAATACGGATTGTGCCTGCTTCTGGGCGACTACTCCTGGGTTTTGATGAGCCTTGGATGTACCAGCCAACAATGGGATCGGTGTCGCGAATTCCGATTTTGGCTTCTAGATTGAAACTTGCGTTGCTGTGTGAGAGTGATACGGATGAGGCAGTAGCAGTTCCCGGCTCCCTCAAAGGAATTTTCATTTCGAAAACTCGTGTTTGACCAGGCCGGAGTGTCAAGTTAGAAGTTCCTCTGAGCAGTGTCGGCAGTTCATCATCAGACCCTTCAGCATAGTCTTCCTTCAGCGATAACGACAAAATGGAGATCGTGGAGGCCGATGGCGAGTCCGAGTCCTCTGAAGCCCCTTGCTCTAGTAATATTGGTCTGAGACTCCCACTGAACTCAACCTTCAATGACTCAAATGTGATCGGAGCAGCATCGAGAAACGTGTGCGATGTGAGCGCAAGCTGTGCGGTACATGTCTCGCCAGCCTTGCCCTCTTTATTCCGAAACACGAAAGACGCTGAGATAAACGAGCTGGTCTTGTCGTCACTTAGACTAATCTTGGGCTTCTCATCTGCTGTAATTCCTTCGAGTGATCTGGTAATGTCGTAATGCCATTGTGGCTGCCGCACGAACCCTGATCATAGTTAGATAGATTACGCTCAAGATTGTCATCGAAATACTCACTGCTACTCATGAGCTCCCAGTCCGCAGCAACCACTAGGTCTGCACGGCGGGCTCCAAGGGCAATTCTTCGCAAAGTCAAACACAGGTCCTCTGATATATTGAGCCAACCCTCCGATCTGAACGTAACGTCCTCCCAGAATGGTAGCAGGGTTTCCACAGCACCATCCCATTGTTTCAGATTGGCGAACTCCCTTGCGCACTCTAATGATATCTCAGCCGTTACACGCTTTTGCTTTCGAGATCGAAATTGTGAGCTCGCCGCTTTGAGACAATCAATGATCAATTGTGCATGATTTACTCCAGTGCCCGATATTGGGTATTCCTGGTACGGCTCTGGGCACATGTATGTATCGTATGCAAAGGCCTTGCTGGCTACCGCTGATGCGGGTGTCGTATCTGGCGAATTCCTATCCTCCTCGGGCATCTGGTACGCAAGATTCCGGCGAGCCACAAGATGACGTGCCGCTATGCGATACCAGTAGCCTGTATGGTGCAGCAACTCCCATGGTGACACTCGCTCGCCTAGGACAGACTTATCCGGCGGGACAAACAGAGCTCCCGTCGCTGGCGCCAAAGCTGGCAAACCTACCCTTTCGATCAGATTTGCCATGACTGTAGCCCACCGAGCTTCCCAGGCCTGCCATCCATAGTTGTTGGTTCCTCGTCCGCGTCGATCGACAAAGTCAGCAATCCGTTCTCGATGTGAATGCCACATTCTAACAGCCAGCGTAGTTTGGCCCAGCCACAAGTGACATCTTAAGCACCGAATAGCTATGATATCCGCCAAGAGACGCGCCTCATTCCAGCGAGGGCTCCAACTGGGGATTATGTCCAGCACATCCTGTCCAAGAAGTACCTCGTATGCTTGTTTGAAAAACTGCAGGGCCGCGTCTGTCTCCTGTCGAAATTCTGCAAATATGGCCGATTTAAAATCGTATCTGAAATTCCAGTCCGGGAGCGAGAGGGTCTGGGATGTCCCAGTCGTGGGTGGCACGGTCGGTTGAGGTGCTATTCCGCGCGATCGCTTCTTCCTGGCGTGTCGTCCAAGATCCCGGTAGTATTCCACAGCTGAAGTGTAAAGCACGCCCAGGACGTTATCAACAACCTGTTTTAAATCGTCCTGCGACTCCTGTGATGGGATGTAAAAGACCGACTTTGGGTCCAACGCTGTGCCTCTCCGTATGTTCTCCAGTCTCTCTTGAATCCCTTCGGCCAACGACAGAGGAGCGCCTTCGCGGTCCGCAAGCAGAACAATAGCTAGCCGTGTCTTGTATCCCGAGCGTAGTAAGGCACTCTTGAGATTGTTGATATCAGACTTAATATGGTTATCTTGAAGCGTCATGGAATTCGGGTCGTTCGTGAGGGGGTAGAAGCACAGGTACACGCTAGGAACGAGGTCCTGGTGCTTCTTAATCCATTGCGCATCAATATGGCCATCCGGATATAGTGCCGATACTGGACTGAGCGGGGAGAATGGCGAGTGTAGAGTTGGGTGTTCGCTGAGCGGTTCGATATCGTCTGGGAGACGAGCTCGACGAGGTGGTAATAGAAACGACTGTCCCGCGTGTTAGAACAAGGCTTCGTGTAGCACCCCGCGCAACCTACTCTTCCTGTAGTCCTAATGCGAAATCTATATGGCTCATTTCTCTCAAAAGCACTCCACGACTTTGCGCTCGCATCAACATCTTTGAAGTATTCCGCCAAAACCTCTGCATCTGCGCCCCCGACAGGTGGTAACTCTGATCGTAGAAGGATGCTCTGTTCCTTTAGCTCGGCACTCAATGGGAGCTCGTTCGTCTTGGAGTTAAGGCCGGCGGCCACTAGAAGGGGGACATTGTGGTCCAAACTTCCCGTCGGATACCCATCCATGGTGGATATTTGGAGATGTCGAAGGCATGGGTCCGCGACGGCGAAGGTAAATTGAGCTCAGAGCTGATGTCGCCAGACAACGTTAGCCATCCTTGTCCATCGCAAATGCCCCTCGTTAGTGTAGCAGCCCACTAGCTCACTTACATGGCTCAAAGACATGGAAGAAACCGCCCAGTGATAATATGCCGCTTGTTGAACGCAGAAGAAATAGTAGCAATGTTTTCAGAGTCTTCAAGTGCCTTTTAAATCAAATCGACATCATCATTCACCTAAAGACTGTCCCAGCAGCGATCATAAGAACGGTTGGCCCTTAACGGCACCCCTGCAACACATCGGCAGCTCCTCCGGAACCGGAACAACGCCAACCGCCGAATCTCCAAAACTTCGAGATTCAACCTTGCGAATGCGACGCCAGCGCCAATTGACCTCAGAAATCCCCCGTTCGCACCGCCTCCGACCGACGAATTGTCCAACGACTAGTCCGATAGTTTTTGTCTCGAATCTCTCGCCATGAGACCTACACAAGCCCTGTCGGTCGGCCGATACCGCCACCTCAGACTCACAACCAAGGATGTTGGAAAGGGCTTCTACAAGGGTAACCGCACTGGTTCCATGGGTCGACACACAAAGTACGGAGGCTACGTTATCGAGTGGAACAAGGTCCGAACATATGCTGTGCCACCGCTCAAGGATTTCAAGGTGAGAATGGACGCATATTGGTGATTCGGACGGAAGACTAATTGTGGTGGAATAGCTTACACCCTTCGTGAGCCGACAAGTCAAGGCGGAGCCTGGTGACTATAAGGGTCTCGATAAGGGTCCTCAAGATCCTTACTTCTACGTTGAGCAATGGAAACGATTCAACGGTGTGGATTAAACAAGCGAAAAAATGGCGGTCATGGAATTGGATGATTTCTCGACAGATGGCGAATCTAGAATGCCAGCTGGAGACTTGGGGATCTCTGGCAAGGTTGTATATACCCGTGTACATTGTACCACCATGTAAGACTATGGACTCAGTCGATCAATAACGAAAGAAAAAAAACAGTTGAATACTCCTATCCTCTGCGGAATGATGACTACCTATGGATGTTGATTACAAACGAAACAAAATGATCCTAACGATTGTGCTTTGACACGGGATATCCTGATTGAACCAAACTGAACAATCGACTGTATCCAACCTTGCGCCAAAAGAGAAGTCCTTTTTATACATCCTCCTCTTTCTTGGCCCGGGGCAGCTCCTCTTGAGCCGTGACAAATGTGTCCAAACCAGGTCGCTCCAAAGGCGTGGCAATCAAGCCTGGTTCGTCGTTTATGTCATTCTTCTCTTTTCCAATCCCGTCTTCATTCTTCTCAACGGGCTCTGAAACCTGAATGTTTGGGCTCATGGGCCTTGAGGTGGGCATGGCGGTAATATTCGACTGCAAGGTCTTCATACTGGCAGTGTCTGCCTCCTTTTTAAGGCTGAATGGAACTGCTGTGCCGTCGAGGAACGGTCGCTTGCCTGCGACATCAATAGTTGGTGCATATTGGGAAGTAAGCTGAGTCGACTGAGAAGGCTGAGTTGAATCATCGTCCTGGAAGCTTGGACTCATAGGTCGTGAGCCTGGAAGTTGCGTCATGTTGGACTGAAGCGTCATCATACTAGCCGTCTCGGCATCCTTATTAAGGCTAAACGGCAGTGCAATGCCATCGAGAAATGGTCTCTTTCCAGCTACACCAGTCTCCGGCGCATAGTCAGGACTGAGTAGGCTGGGCTTCGCAGCTTCTTGCTCCTTTCGTTGCTCTATTAAATGAGCAACTGGCATATCCTCGGTGATGGGCTGGCTACCCGTCTGGCTACCCGTCTGGTTTTCGTCCGTAACGACCTTAGTGTGAGATCGGCTTCGTGCTCGGTTCGGCTGTGACCGTGATCTATCCTGTCCTTCAATATCAGCAAAGGAGCGAGCTCCTTCGCCCTCAGCACCAGTGGCAACTCTCGTTTCTGGCTGTCCAGCTGCCTTCTTCTCTCGCTCGACTGTCATTTCGTCGTGTTTAGATCCCCACAGTGACCACATTGCCAGACCCCAGCTCTTCTGTTGTTTCTTGCTTCCTTCCACCAGCTTTGAATCAACACGCCGTCGCCCAGCCAGTGCAGTCGGAGGAGGGCATTCGCCAGGACCATAGTCATGGTAGCCGATGGCCATATCGCTCACCATCTTTTTATGGACCTTGGCCTTGTTTGATGCATATCTATGATCCCACTCTGCCTTCTTGGCAAGCCATTTCTTAACTGTCCCCTCCTTTACAACTCCAACCAAAACAGGCTCCATACAACATGATGGCAACTCAGCCTCAGGAGCCAACGGGAGAGTAGCACCATGGCGAGTAACTCTTTGTCGAATCATGTGGTTCTTGAACGGTGGGAGAGGGTCGCCAGCCTTTCCAACCCGGCCAGGCTCTGAGTGAAAATCTGACTTTTCGGTTTCTGGGGTTTTAGGAGGGTTTTCCTTGGATTCGCTATCTGATCCAGACTCAGAGATGACGGATATATCGTCGTCGTCAAGAATCTCGATGCCACGTTTCTGAGCCCGAGCGAGAGCCCATGCGCCGAATTGGGCAACAGACCTGTACATGTATTTCGCGGGACGAGTGAAACTCAGCGTTGGTGCCACATGACAAAGGTCATCCCAAACTTGGAGTTGGACATCGGTGGGTTTGTACTTTTGCAACAAAGCCTTTCCTTCTGGGGTGAGAGCTGCTTCTGGGGGCGCATATTTTTCAGGGTTGGCACATTTGTGAGCCAAGTATATCTGCTCATCTCGTAAAATTTCACCTCCTCCCACCATAATCAAAAGGGGAGGGAGTCCTCCTAGTGTAGGTTGCATGACTGGGCTGACAAGAGGATGTGCAAGAAGCTCGTTGGTGGTATACATCTAGGGTCATCAGTTTCTGTTCAAACTCATCTTCTACGAAACCTACCTGAATCTGATCTTTCAGCTTGACGAGTTGGCCGTCAATGGTGACAGAGAGGAGCTTTTCAGGGTTGATGGGAATTCCACCATTGATCCACTCCGATCTTGATGAAGCATCTGACGGTTCTTTCTTTACGACTGGCGCTTGCTGCTTCTCCTTAAGATCTTGCTTGCCAGGTATCTTCTTTCCCTCCTTCTTCTTCAAAGCCTCTTCTCTCAACATTTCAATATCGTCTTCATTCGGCGGCGGCCATGCTTTAGAAGGTTTGTGGTGGAAACCTGCCTGTGGTATATAATCAAAAGGGGCCTCACCCGCAACGCTGGGGAACGAATGTGTCAGGTCAACCCATGGGCTGATGAGAATAGCACCAGCAGGCAACGGGAGTCCTTGATCGCGGAGAACACACAAAAGAGACATGACCATTCCACCGCCCGCAGAGTCTCCAGCCAAAACAATGGTTGTTGGATCTTGAACAGTAAGTAGATACAGGTAAGCTGCAAGACAGTCGTGAAGGCCACAGGGGAAGGGAAACTGCGGCGAAAGGCGATACCGAGGCGCAAAAACGCGTGCTTTGAGCTTTCGAGCATGTCGCTGCATTTGATATCGATGCTCATCAACACTACCAAAGTAGTATGCGCCTCCATGGATATACATCATGACGCGCCGCGTCGTTCCTCCTTTTTGCTTTCGCTCGTAGGCATCCGAGCGCATCTCAATCCATTCCGCGCCGAGAGGAGTCGCGGGTTTTCTCCATTGCCACCACTTCTCGCCGCCGACTTGCTTGATACCGTCTGGGCCAAGTTGCTTCTGAAGAAATTCAGCGGCGCGAGTCAATTGATCTTCGGAGATGGTGACATCTTCGATTTTGATCCATTGAGGATGTGGCACCCATTGCGCGGTGAATGCTTGGAGTTCCTCAACAGTGTGGTGTGATGCATACTCGAGGAACGATCGGATCAGATGGAGGCCTTCATCATAGGAGAGATGCGCAGTTGGACGTTGCCGCAAAGGCTTCCTGTTGAAATACTAGAGGCTGGAAGTTAGTGTCTTGCAAAAAGGAAGCAATCTCAAAGTATCAGAGGAATTGTGTTTTATCCCCTCTAAGGCACCAGCTTGGAGGTAGATTACAAAAAATGATGAAAGTACGTACATGAGAGAACAAAGTCGAAACGACAGTAGGCGTCACAGCGAATGACACCGAGGTGGTGTTGAGCGAGTTCATGGCTGTCACCAACTCGAATCACCGAGTACAGTACTTGGATACACAACAAAACAATCAGTGGCTTGAGGCTATTAAAGACGCGCCATGTGCCATGGCATGGAAGAGTTCAGTTCAATTCAGCTGGGAGACAGGCACAGCTGAGCCCAAAACCTAACCAATTGCTAGTAGGGGTCTCATGATGTCATTCTTTGATGAGACGCAACCAATTCCTAAGGTACCCCTGACTCCACGGAACCGGGGATGGCTGATGGGCTCGACGGACATAACGATCTTGAACCTTTATCCTGAGGGGATGGAAATACTTAGACAAGCTTAGGTACTTAGCTTTGCATACTCTAGAATGGCATCTAGAAGCCTTTTGTCAGTTTATCTAAGTACATCAACCAAGTGTCCGTTGCTTCGATTCCATAGAAACGGGACGTGCCTTCTGCATGCAGCCAGTGAGTCGCTGGATGAAACCTGACTTTCATTTAAAAATGGCCTGTGCTTTTGGTTTGTGGGGAGATTCGCAGCCAAGAACAAGGTTGGGACGCTGAAGAGCTACCTATATAAAGCACAATATAGAGTTGAAAACTTGGTCGAACCAGAAAATATCGGTAATACTAAGACGCTGCCATTTCGGGTGTATTATTCATTACGCTTCTTGTTAGATAACAATGCACTTGGTGTTACGTATTACCAGGGACCAGACAAAACTAGGTCACTCTCTGATGATCAAAGGACACACAGGCCTCAGGGTGTAAGAAGACTTCTGACGTTAGGTAGACTAAGGTGTCAAAAGAACTTAGTCTAAGATCCTCTAGATCTCTACTAAATTATACTAAGTTTACCTAAGTTTACCTAAGGCTTTTTGTCACCTAGGATAGAAGGCCCAAGTTTTATGTGGGTCGCTTCTCTGGGCCGCAACCGCCCGGTCTAATCGATAAAACACCAAATTTTTTATGCAGAGCCATCTTCTTCAAATTGCCCCTCCAAACCCCGCCAAAACTATCACCACAAACCATGGCCTCTACAGAACCTACACAGCTGCCTCCGGCGGGTGAGTCCATACCCCGACTTCAAACATTCGACAGAAATTGATCTTGATCTTCTAGCTGAACGCCAATCCGAGTTCGAGCAAGCCGTCGCATACGCCCTTCACCTATGGCCTGCTCTTACACTCTCAGTCCAGAACGGCTGGGGTGGTCCTGACTCTGCCGACAAGCGCGATTGGTTTGCCGGCGCCATTGCCGACCTCTTCCCAGAATATACCGATACACCTCCCAAGAATGGAAAGGTTCCTGAGGACCCTGATCTAGAAGAGGTTGAGACTGTCCTGCTCCAGATCATGGTTGACGAGTTCGAGGTCAATGTCGACGACGATTCCGGCACAGAAGTTGCTGGAAACATTCTCCGTGCTCGTGCGAGCTGCACTCTCGGAACCTTTGACGAGGTCAAGGCTCTGCGCACGCGCTGGTTGAACCGCAAGGGGACAAAGGTTGAGGGTCTCTTCAAGAAGGCTGAGGATGCCGATCAGGACACAGACTGGGAGAGTGATGAAGACGATTCAGAGGATGACGAGGGTGGCGCTGATGTCGAGATGGATGAGGCCCCCCCTCTGGTTGCGGCTCCTAAGGAGAAGCCCCAACCTCAGGTCGACGAGGATGGCTTCACGATGGTCACCAAGAAGAAGAAATAAATGCAACAAAGATACGAAA